TGCTGTACCCCTTGAAATGCACTGGACATACAGGAGCTTCATGTCAGGGAAGCCCACTATACAAGGATGCGGCTGTGGGAAGGAGTTTTGGGGTGGCAATCAGTGCACATTTGAGAGAATGGACACAGTATTAAGGAAGATCACCCTGAAGCCACACTGCCTGAGTTCCTTGACTTGCTTTGCTTATTGTGCTCACCTATAAACAGGACTGGTGGCTTAGGAGTGGTTGTGGTTACAAATTGGATTGCTAACTGCAAGATCAACAGTTCGAAACCACTCCCCACTCCACAGGAGAAAGACTGGGTTTTTCGCTCCCATAAAGAGTTACAGTCTTAGAAACCCACAGGGGCCGTTTTACCCTGTTAAGAGCGTTGCTATGAGTTGGCACTGACTTGGTGGCAGTGGATGAATAGGATTAAGGCGTTCTACTGGCACAATGGGTAAGTGCCTTGCTGGTGACAGAAAAATCAGCAATTCAGACACACCTGGGACTCCGTGGGAGCAAAGATCTGCTAAGGAGACATATAGCCTAGGAAACCTGGTGCGTTCCTCCTTTCTGTAAAGATATGTAGCCTAGGAAGCCCTGTGGGGTGGTTTTATTCTCTCCTCTAGGGTTGCTAAGAGCTGTAACCAACTTGAGCGCACACGACACGAAGAACGTACATGGGAATAATAGTTCTTGCCTCAGAGGTTTTGTGATAAGGATGCAATGCAGTACTATTTTATTAATGAGTCGGGCCCATAGTTACATCAATATATTTGTGAAGTGAAAATGTTAAATAAAATGCCGTGGTAGAAAAGCATTTTAAGAAATCCCATCAGCTAGCAGTACAAGAATGGGTGGTCTGGAAAATCAATTCCAAATCTCCTGCCAGGTAGTAAACTGCCAGTCAGCAATCCTAGAGAGCAGAGTGGAATTTCCCCTGTGGGATTCCTAAGGCCACAGTGACTGCCACGTTTTTTCTCTCATGGAGCCCACGGTAGACTTGAACCACTGATCTTTTCGTTAGCAGCTGAGTACTTTAACCACTGTGCTACCAGGACTCTTAGAGGTGAATATAGTATGAGGCATCAAATGGAGGAAAAGTAAGCACACAAACTCTTCTACCTCTTTCAAAGACACTAGCAGCAGACCCACCCACTAATTCCATTTCTCACATTTGGGGTGGAATGAACAAATTTGCTGTAAGAGAAAAACAAAATACACGCAGCCCCATGACCTTGATTTATATGTCCAATGATAACCCTTGCAGAAAGCTAGAGCGTTAGAGAACTAGAGTTGGAAGCAGCATCCTAGTGAAGTC